CGTATTCTCATACTCAATTCAACAACGATGGGCAGATGTCAGTGGCGGAGCCTCTTTTCAAGCTCCAGAAGCAAAGTGTCCTGCAAAGCGAGATGCCAAGCACGCTGCAGAGAGAGGCTCATCCACGACACATGCCACAGACGTAGATCCACCACCGGCTCCGTGTGAGATGCAATCACGAAGGAGAGCGTTGTGCAAATTCTGGATGAGCAATGGTACATGCATGAGATCGCAATGTGATGGCTTCCACCCACAGGGTGAAGAGCTCAAAGAAGCCAGAGTTCGTTGGAAACAAGAGCAAGCTGAGCGTTTGCTTCTCAATACTCAACCAGATGATCCACACCTGGAGAAAAAGAGTCATGCTCATCGTGCTTCAGTTTTTGCTGACTGGCTTTGTGAAGTCTACAGCCTCGAGAAACTCCAAAACTGCGGAGTTTTGGACATTGCCGGTGGGCGAGGAGAGTTAGCCTTCGAGTTGAGTGTCAAGCGTAGCATTCCTTGCACCACTCTGGATCCACGCTGCCCAGGCGGCGGCCACCCACAAAGCACTTGGCGTGATTGGCATGTCTCCCGCCCCCAACGGACGTGGTTCAAAGTGCAGCACGGCATTCGGGGCTACTCAGACTGTCAAGAATACATAGCCACACGATGCCCGCTGAAGCAGTGCAAAGATCCCGTGGAGAAGGCCATTTCTGCAGCACTGGCGGTGAAAGGCGGCGCCGAGGAAATTGAAGACATGGAAGGATGGCAGGATGTTTTAGACTGCGCAGTCGTTGTTGGCTTGCATCCTGACCAAGCAACTGGCGGCGTTGCGGAACTTGCGAGGGTACTTGGACGGCCCTTCGCTGTGGTGCCCTGTTGCACTTTTGCCGATGAGTTTCCTGAACGTCAAGTTGGGGGTCGGCCGGTTCGAACGTACAGCGACTTGATCGAATGGTTGACGCTTGACGGTGCGGCGCAGAAGGACTTCTTGATGTTTTTTGGCAAGAACCTCGTGGTGTTCACTGCATGACTTCAACCATTTTGTTTGACGTTGCGCAGCAGACTCTGAATGAAAAATGGCAAGAAACCTTGGACATAGCATGTAGCCATTATCTCCCGACCTTTGGGTATTGAGGATGTTGAGCTTCGGGTCCACAAGTTTCCACGACCACTTGAGCCAAAGCCTTCCTTGGAACAGCTCTGAGGTGACAGGCGTAGACTAGGAGTAAACCGAAGTTTCCCTGTTGGGTCAGGCGCGCTCTTGACAGCTGCGAAGTCATGCGATAAAGAGTTGTATTTGGTAAGCCCACACAAGTAGTATAACCACTAAGTCCCTAAAGAAGTATATGTATAATATTATAATTCTTTTTTTTGGAACCTTTTTGTCGGTCTTTTGGTTTCAGCTCCCTCCGGCCAAGATCATGGCTTAACGGACCAACCCGAAAGCGTTTGAAGGTAGGCCAGTCTCAAATCACGACCAATTTCATGCAGGAGAACGTTTGGGCTTCACTCGACGCCATATCGAATGCTGCTTTCCGGAGCTCAAACAGCTCGCCAAGAACGATGTGCCAGAGTGGATGGCGACTCAGATCGATCACGAGCCTTGCTTGAAGGGCTGGGAGAGGAATTTCGTGTCAAGCAATGTCAAGCAGCAAGAGCTTCCCAGCAAAGGTAGCAACTTAACGCTGACTCAACAAGAAGTCAGGGGACATAGGGGACTGGTGCAGACTGGGGTTGGAAGTTGCCAATCCTAGTTCCAATTGCATGTCACCCAACCCTGTCAGGATTTGAGAGCTTGGGAGGATCAGGTCACTTGGCTAGTCTCAGTCGAATTTATATACCTTTTCAATCCTTTTCATGCACGACTTTAAGAGCTTGGGTCAGTTTCAGATTGTTCAGTTCCGTATCATGGAACAGGATTGTGTTTTGGAGGCGCCATTCACAGGCCACAGCTTGGATCTAATGCACGAGGTCTTCGAGAAGGCGGGTAGGGGTGCCGACCTCTGCCGCTTCCAAATCAGACGCTCGATGAAAAGAGAAGGGCAAGGCGACGCCCCTCAAATCGACAGGGCAAGCGGACGGACCCCCCCAGTGGAGTGCGACCCTGTCGATGAGAGTCAACGTGAGGAAAAGATGCCATTTTTCATTGTGACTTTGGCCGGTCTCGAGCCTCGGATGTGCAAAGACTGCTTGGAGCTGAGGTCGAGGTAGTTGTTTTTCTTCATTTTTCTTGCCAAACGTGGCACATCGTGGTGGCACTTGATAGGGACTTTGATAGGGATTCCTTGGATTTTTAGGATTGGTTCTGGTGTGATGGTTTGGATGAGTTACGGAAGTTACGTTTGGATGTTTTGCTGATATGTTCTTGCAGTGTGGGATACTGTCCCCAGTCCATCAGCAAGGATACTACTCTTTGCTTCATTCGCTCCGAGCAGCGTTGCACATCCTTCATGCCATGTTTGGCCTTCCAGAGGTGGAGACTAGGCTTCATAATGAACTGCACGGTCATGTATTATTATGTATCGACGCCCTGCCTTCGTTCCTTCGTTCGTCAGAAGCCGACTCAGCCGAAGCACATAAAAGGACTTGTTGATCCACACCAGCGAGTTCTATGGAGTCGACGCACCAGAGATCAACCTCACAGTCCCAGCTTAGGGCTTGGCATGCGTTGACCAAGCGTGAAGTCAGATGTCTGAAAACGCAACCCAAAGAGCTGAGGTCCTGGTCCAGGCACAACCTGAAGGTTGCAATGGGATCCTGATGCCTTGGTGGGCCTTCTTGCAGTGGGCTTTTCGGTGGCACTAGTCAAGCGTGTCAAGGCAGCAGTTCATTTGACATCCCATACGGCAGCAGAACTGGCTTTAGTTGAGGAGTGGACACGGCGTTACCGTGACAGATTGGAGCAAGCATCTGCCGATGTGCAATGGCAGGATCGGGACTCCCTGCTCTTTTGGCGTGGCTCCGACACTGGATGTTTGCTCCCAGGCGCAGAAATCAGTTGTGCTCGGAGTTGCTCAGAATGGAATTCGACCACTTGGCCTCTTTTTCCACGTTCAAAGCTGGTGCTTGCATCATCAGTGTTCCCTGGCCGGATTGATGCTGTCTTTACCAAAGACACGGTGCACCGGGAATGTCAAGACGTCTATGATTCCAGTGGCTTGCGAGTAGGGGAGATCGTCCCTCCTGAGGCACACGTTCTGCACAAGTCGCTTTCTGCTTTGCTTCAGGATTCGTTTTATCTTTTGGGTGGACCGTTGGCATCTCCAATCTTTTCACTCTGATCATGTTGCATATTTCGTCGTGGTGTGCCATAATCCAGACAGTCCCAAGTGTCCTTGAAGGTATTTGGCCTATGTAGATGGAACCTCCTTCTCGGACCGACTTTTTTGGCTATTGCAGACTGACTCCTTGGTATTCCGAGCTGCCTCGAGCATCCGCGTGTGGTTGGATACTGGCTTGAAGGCATGGACACACTACGTTCCAGTTCGCGAAAATTTATCAGATACTTGCATGCTTTGCATGTGCGTTTTTGAGCTAGTCTCGGTTTTTATTTGTCGGGGTTTTATTGGCCAGTTTACAGTCCCAATGGGCACATTTGCACAGCCTTAGGATTTGTTGGACCGATTGGATTGGGCGAAGCAGAATGATGATGCAAGTGCCAGGCCGCCTTAACAAATGAGAAGTGCATTCACGCGAGCAGAAGTTCCTGCTTTTGCAAGTGTGTCACATTGCTCAGGATTTCAGCTGATGCAGCACAGTTTGCTAAGACGCACCTTACCTTAGATGCCAGCTTGTTCTACCTGTATCAGCTCCTTGTGAACTGACCTCAGCACAGAGCAGCCTGCCAAGACAACTGTTCATTGGGGCTTTGATCTTAATGCTGCGTGACTCTAAGGAGGTTGGGCAAAGTTATTCAGCTCACGCCAATCGAGATTTCAGTACCACAACCTGAATTCGCGCCAGAGCCAGTCGTGGAGGCTGATCGTTGCTTTGCTTCTTCGGTTGGAGGCTCAAGTTGAAATGAAGCTCATAGCAGCTCAAATGTTCGCGATCAGGTGGATTCCGGGCTGGATTGCTGGGCCTTTGGTTTCAGCCCAGCTTTTTGCTGCAAGGTGGAGGAGCAGTTTGACAGAAGATCTTTTGGAGTAGGTTTTTGCATAGAGAACCGACGTAGCCTTGGGCTGGTAGGCCATGGCATGCCATGGCAAAGATGACCCCAAAGAAAGAATTTCAACGATTTTGCGCGTTCATTTGTTTTTTTGGAATGCACGGGACTGTCTCACTGGAAAACATAAATGTAGGTATGCGTATAAAGCCATATGAAGCCCCTAAAGTGATTGAAGGAGGCAAGTTAGGCAACGGAGAAGGCACATAGCAGAATATAGCAAGGGGGATATGTAGCAGCACGCCCAATGCATTTGCATGTGGGTTCCTCTAGGGGTCACAGGCCTTCGTTGGCTATGGGCTTACCAATCCAAAGGACTTGGGTCATTTTGGGTCTATCGGGTGTCCATTCAAATTCCCCCCAAGCAGCCCCTGGCACACTGCAAAGGTATGGCCCTGGCGGAAATCCTGCATGTTGGGATGGGCCATACACATTTGATCTTTGCTGTGGAGAGATGTCGTCGCATCCAGCGCCCAGTGGAAAAGTCGTTGTTCTCCTCTCAAGGCAGGGCAAGTTGGCAAGAATATTGTAGAATTACTTAAGACACGAGCGGCGTCATGTCCAATTTCCAGCTTTTGGACGACAATGCAATTGATCACCTAAGAGCCTCAGTCAGCCAGCTGTTGAATGTAGGGGGAGAGGGGGAGTCTCCTGATCCTCGCCGCAGGCCCTTTCGGTTTATCGGACATTGAACTCTTTCATTTCTGCATTTTTTGCGGAGCTGCCCACTGTGACGTGTCAAAAATTGGTATGTCAATGTATGCCAAATGGCTGTCAAATGGTCAAATGGTCTTTTTGAGCCTAGTCTCTTATCAAGAGTAGATTCAAGCCACAAAGTAGAGCTGAGGTTGCGATGGCACTCTTCAAGATTGTGTTCTCTTTGCTGCTGCTGGCTGCTGCAGAGGAAAGCGAGAAACTCTCGGAATCGCTCGATGTTTGTGGGACTTTGTGCCTCCAGGAGTGCGACAACTCTGAGCGTGATGAGGTGCAGCTCCTGCAAGCCCAGGACTAGCTTGGCAAAAATTGTTGAAATCCTTTTTGTTGACTTTTCAGGCAGGTACGAATGTGAGATAATATGAGTGTGTTCGGATTTTCGAAAACACTAAAGTTTGAGAGTTGTGTGAATTCACATCTGGAAGCGGAGAAACTCTTGAGGATAAGGGCAGAGAGATTCAGCCAGATTGGACCAAGCATCTCGGGTGAAAGACTAATTACAACTTTCTCAGATTGCTACCTGTGCTAAACACATATTTGGAATGAGTTAGTAGGCAGGCACGGTGTGTTTTTGAAGCTTCTCATGGTAACTTGTCGAAGGCCTCAGACCAAACATCCACATGTTTCTTGAGGATCGTCGATGCTGCCAAAACTGCAGTGAATTCAGGTATCCGAAGATGTTGTTTCTTGCTCACTGTGGCTGTTGCAACCGAGTGCTATCGAATGTTCTTTTTGACAGGCATTGGAAAGGTGACCACCCAATTGTCTGATGCTCTCGACACTGCGAACACGAAAATTCTGATGCCTGCTGCAGTTAGTTCTGATTTGTTATCATTTGCTGGCTGCTGGCATTTGCTGTTGTCAATCTTTGTGGCTTATTTTAGCTTGCATATTGCAAGATAAGACGAGCCAAGGGCTGCTGGCACAAAGTTCAATCAATCCGTGGAGAAATTCGAATCCAAAGCCAATGCAAACTTCACCGTGAGCTAAGGCCTCAGAAAACAGTTCCCAGCAGAACACACGGGGTGGCTACCCACCGGTTCCATGCAGTGCCACTGCCACTGAAACTTGAAGCGAGGCCAGAACCTTTCAGCGTTCAAGAGTCTTATCGATGCCAATGTGCCTTTGCTTGCACGGAGATGGAGATGTTTGCTTGTTCAGTGCTGGCACGTTGGTCTCCAAACATATGGGTCGGGAAGAGGGTGAAACTCGAGCACCTCCAGAGTTAGGTCAAGCAGTTCGTCCCGTCCTACAACACGACCCTGAAACAGGCAGGAACAGACCGTTGGTGGTTGAGCAATGACCCCTACTCCGACACATCATTGTGCGGTCTATGCGCAGGCCATTGGAAGGAGTTTTGGCTTCCCCTATGCCTTGCAGACACCACATGCCAGGTCACAACTGGACTTGCAACCACCAAGACCGTTATGGGAGCAATGGGCCAGAAGGAGAGGTGGCTTAGTTGAAGAAAGGCGACGCATCGAAAAAAGACAGCCCGAACTGGTCAGTGAGCGGATCCAACTCATGCCATTCAACCGGACCAGGAGTTGGCAGAGAAATTGGAGAAATTAGAGGGCACTGTCACCGACAATTTGAGAGCCCTGGCGGATTCAACCCAGGCACGACTACCCCGAAGCTAGCACAGGGAGATGAGATTTTGATCAAACGAAGCCCTTTTGATGTTGCTGACGCTGAAAGACACGACATGGACAGACGAGCGCAGGCCATGGCGCAAGATATGACACAGGCTACAGCAGATAACTATGGTGACTACTTTGTCTGGAGCCAAGCCTAGCAGGCACTTTTAGTACCGTACATTAAGAACCACTGTTCAAGAGGGGGAGCACACCCTAAAAATACATTCTTAGGGTTTCCCTTATTCTATCACTGGAGCAGAACGATCAGGCCACAATGAAGAAGAAGTTGCAATTTATCTCTTCAACCAGTGCCTCTTTCAAGAGCACCTTCGAGTCACAGTTGGAGGCCATACCGACGAGCATGGAAGTAAACATAAAACAAAGGCTTGTAGGGTTGTACCATTCTAGGCACACAGGATGGTTGAGGATTCCTTAGCTACAGGAAGCGCAAACTGGATTTACTAGCATGTGGCTAGTGGATGTGCTGTTGAGATTTGAGAAGCCTTTCATTCTGACAAGTGCGTGACCTCCAAAGCACTTTGTCAAAGGTTTGTTGGTCAGTCCGGCCTATAACATTACTGTACTATTCTACCACCAGAAAGGCAGCGGAGCATAGACCTAACATGGCCTAACTGTCAACATCCAACCATCCCATGGTTTGTTGGTTCGGTACTACTGCAGGCACCGGCAACGTGCCGAGGGTTTGGGCCCCAATCATTTCATGGTCGCCAGGCCTTCTCAGGTGCCTTGCTCGGACCCTTGGAGGACGCAAATGATGTATAATGATGTGATTCGTTTTTGGCATCAAAAGGTTTCAGACATGCATAAGCTGAGCAGAGTTGAGAGTTTGTATCTAAATGTGTCCATTCATGTGTTACTTAGTCTTGTCATCGCAGGTTGCACTTGGGGATAAAGCTTCAACTCAGATCAGTGACCTCACGGCAAAGGCCCCTTCGACTCACAAGCTTATGCACGTGTGGACATTCATTGGCGGACTCGTGCCAAGATATGGGTGCCCACTGCGTGTGCTGCAAATTTGACAGCAAATGCCTGAGGCGGACCTCGTTCTTGGCAATTTGCAGCAAGTGGTGGCAACTGGGACAGCATATCCTAAGAGCACCTTTGTTCATTGCCAGGTTAGCCGCACTTGTATGTTGTATCGTGGTTGATACAGTGAAAACAACCTGCCACAACCCAGGGAAACTACAGCCAGGGCTTGAAGACCATCGGAGAGACCGTTGATGTGAAGCTGCAGAATACCAACAGCCGACTGGGCTGCAAGACCATTCGGATGTAGACAGCAGCTAGCAGCTAGCAAATTCACACAAAGCATTCTTTTGCCGCCCTTTTCTTGGTGTCGCTTGGTGTCAGGTGATTCATGTGCAGTTTGAGCGCATCAGATTGAATTGGTAATGATTGGATACAACTGTTGTGCGCTTGACGTTTACAGTGGGTGTCAAGAACTTTGAGCAGGATAATGCTGATGTATTATATGTGCTCCTGAGATTCTAGCGCTAGCTGAAGGACGACAATGTTTGAAGACCGGTATAGTAATTACTGTATATGTAAGCTAGGAACTCAATTTCACCAAGCGAATCCAATTAGGTGAAGGCTTCTTTGGCAAGATCTTCCACGGCCTCTTTCGCTGATTAGAGCTGGGAGATGCTAATTGACTGATAGTGACAGAGCTGTGTAGAGCAGCTGGAAAAAGGACCAAGTAATGCTGAAGATCATTTGGGTTGATATATCCTATTCCAGTTACGGTCGGCAAAACAGTATTGCCAGCATCAATGCTGAATACCCAGCACTACTGTATCCAGCAATCATTGTCATCCACGGCTACTGAAATGGGAAAAAGAAAAGAAGTACATGCGACTAGCCTTGGCGCAAGAAGGGTGCCTGAGTCACCACAGGGTACCAGCAACAGACGGGAATATGTTGCAAAGTACTCCCATGTACTCCCACATGACCCTTCCTCACGCTAGGTTGCAGTTGACTTGTCCATACCCATGTAACAATGTACGCCCATGTGGGGACGGTGAAATAGAATCGAGATAGGGAGCGATAGAGGATCAAGATGGTGAAGGACAGCTGTTGAGTTGAATCTTGTCGATCAATTTCAGTGTAGTGTAGCCCGCAGATGCCAATCACAAAGGGCACTATGGCTCGAGCTTGTAGGGCGCCATAAAGCCTGGTGGTGATGGCTGTGTGCTTCCAATATTTCCAAGTGCTTGGCAGGATTTTCAGTGAGAGCTGCTTTCTTTGGTTCTCCTCGGGGCCATGGCTTAAAAGAAGAGTTGTAGAAGTTCGAAGCTCAGAGCTGCCAGAGCTCCTAAAAGGAGGCACTGACAGCGTTGAGAGAACTCCTAAGCTGAAGGGCTACTGGGGCATTTGGAAGGAGGCTGAGGGTTTTGTTCTTCACCTGAAGTTGGGCAGACAGGAGATCAATGGCCTTTTCCAAAGTCGCGAGGAGGCTGAGGCCTACCAAGCCTCTATGCTCAAGAAGCATTTAGATTGGCCTAGAGCTCCTCTTACTGAAAAGGTGGAGCGCAGCGAGCTTTTTGATCACGCTGAGGAATTTGAGGAAATGAAAGAATATGTGTTTCGGGATACAGCTCCTGGGCCAAGTATTTTGAGGCCTGGTTTTCTACAGCCAGATCAGCTGGAACAGTTTGATGAAGAGGGTTTTCTTCTTCGGCTTCCAGTCTTAAACGAAGAAGAGCTGCCTCCAGTTAAAGAGGCCTTTGAGCGTCTCCTAGCAAATCGAGTTGACAAGATCACCTGTGAAACACTACGCTTTCGTGCAGCGCATACCATGCCCCGACCTTTACACCAAGAGCTGGTTTTCCTACTCATGGAAAATGAAAATATCCTTCATGTTGTCGAGGACATTTTGGGCCCACGCTATGTTTGTTGGAGCGCTCACCTTTTCTGCAAGCTTCCTGGTGATCCTACGGTGCAACCCTTTCACCAGGATGCTGGTTTTTGGCCCCTATCACAGTCACGGGCCCTCACAGTTTGGGTGGCTCTCGATGATGTGGATGAAGGCAACGCGGGTCTCGTGTACATTCGGGGCAGCCATCGCTGTGGACGACTGGGTTGGCGACGCACAGCTGCATCCCACTTTCTCCTCCCTCAGGAGATTCCAGATGCCGATTGCATTGGAGAGCCCGTGGTTGCCACCCTCCGAGCAGGGGAAGCTTCAGTCCACAGTGATCTCACCATGCACCACTCCCCGGCCAATAGCAGCTCGAGGCGCCGTGCCGGGATTGCGTTGCGCTTCGTGCAGGCAGATGCACGCTGTTTGGGGCCTATGCTCAATGGCTATGAAATGAATAACGGATGCATCCTTCCAAGAGGGCGCCCGCTTAGTGGTGCCGAACATTGGAAAGCTGCCAGACGGAAGCGCCCAAAGCCAGGTGCAGCTCCATGAGTGGGGAAGTGAAGCAGTAAAATCGTGAGTTTGGGCTTCAGTCTTTGTATGTCTTTAATCCTAATCCTCGATGGAGTTTACATGCTGGTGCTCTTGGGGCTGCATTGTGACGGAAATCATGAAAAAACATACAAATGTTATCAATCAACTATATCTATGCTTTTTTGTGTCATATATATATATATATGTGTGTGTCACCCCTGTACCTAAGGGTTCCGATGTTTCCAAGCAGGGGGCCGGAGCCAGGTGGGGGGTCTCCGGCCAATGAAGACGCCCCCCACCTGGGTGAAAACGTACCTGCGTTTTTCCAATTTAATTTTTAATCAAGCTCTAAAGTGCTAATGCAAGATGAAAACAATGTTGAAACATCTCCAATTTTCTGGACTCCATCGCCTTTCCGTTCTGCATTTTTGAGTCAACGTCTAGTTGCACTAAAGGGAAACTTTTGTTAAACTATACTGTTCTCGCTGACCCATGCGCCTTTCTGTTCCCTCACCTTCCTTCTCAACGTGGGAACTGAGTTAACTGCAAACCAATGTCAGAGTGTGTCAACCCCTGTTCCTAAGGGTTCCGAGATCCATTTCCACCACTACGGCAGGGGGATCAGGCTTCCAGTGACTAACCTGATCCAACGAAGCTGGGTCACTGGAAGGGAAGTGGTTGAGGACGCTCAACCACGTACCTGCTGAGTTTTCCACAAGCTGTCACCCTACTTATCCACGGTTTGATTCATGGTTCTTCATGCAGCTGCACCGCTCGTTTTGCCACCGTTGAGTTCTGCAGACAAGAGAAACCACTTTTGTTCAATCACTTACAATTTCTTGGACTACTCGCCACGCGGTTCCCTCACCTTCCTTCTCAGCATGGGAATTGAGTTAACAGCAAACCAATGTCAGAGTGTGTGTTGCTTTATATACATTACATCGCTCTGGCAAGTGCATGCCGCTCTTCGGCCAGAGTCAAGACGGTGAGATTTGTTCATAGGGTGTTGGGTGCGGTAGCCCAACGGCGTGTCCAAGCCAGAGTGCTTGGCAAAGCAAGGCATTGATATTTCAGTAAAGAATTTCAGTAAAGGACACGGCATGACTCATTGGCATCGCAGGGCCCGGGCGGCCCAAGGGGTTTTAAATGGCGATGCTTCCTTTGATAGCCAGTTTCATGGACTTACGATATACCTGCTTCAAGCCAGCGGATTTAGAAATCCATAGCAGATTGTAAGATCGAATAGCCTGTGGCACGATGAATGTAGCCTCGGGGGTCAAACAACTCTGGGAGACGCATCAAAAGGGAAAAAAGAATGCATCAATAAAAAATATAAATGCATCAAGAAAAAAATAAAAATGCATCAATAAAAAAATAAAGAAAAGAAACAAAGAAAGGCAAGAAGGGAAGCAAGGAAGCAAGGAAGGAAGGAAGGAAGGTACGAAGCCAGGACGGAAGGAAGGAAGGAAGGAAGCAAGGAAGGATGGATGGAAGGAAGAAAGGCAGCAGGGCAGGAAGGAAGGTTCGCTTTTCTTGGGTTTTGGTGGATTTTGCCTTTGGTTTTCGATGGCTTTTGTAGGTGGCCAGCTTGCGGAGCTGTGCTGCCTGCAATGGCAATCATGTATTCTACGTTAATGCATTTTTTGATGCATCTCCCGAAAAACACACACAACAACAAGGACCACTTTTGAACTCCTGTTCTATCCCCCATTTGGCCAGCTACTCAGCGAGCCAGCTTACGGACCTGTGCTGCCTGCAGTGGCCAGGAAAGCTGCAAGTTGACTCACCCTTTGTTGCGCCACCCGAGGGTAAAATTTGGAGAAGGATGTTGCCATTTCAACTTGACTCACCCTTTTGCGCACAGGGTAAAAATTTGAGAAGGAAGTGGTCACTCCAACTTGACTCATCCTTTTGTTGCCAATGCAGGGGTAAAATTTAGAGAGGGAAGCGGCCATGCCGAGTTGACCCACCCTTTTGTGGGCCACGCAGGGGTAAAATTTAGAGAAGGATGTTGCCATTTCAACTTGACTCACCCTTTTGTGGGCCATGCGGGGGTAAAATTTAGAGAAGGATGTTGCCCTTCCAAGTTGACTCACCCTTTGGTGAGCCACCCGAGGGTAAAATTGTGAAAAGAAGTTGCCATTTCAACTTGACTCGCCCTTTTGTGGGCAGGGTAGAGTTTAGAAAAGGAAGTGTCATTCCAAGTTGACTCACCCTTTGGTGAGCCACTGGAGGGTAAAATTTAGAGAGGGAAGTGGCCATGCCAAGTTGACTCACCCTTTTGTGGGCCATGCAGGGGTAAATTTTAGAGAAAGATGTTGCCATTTCAACTTGACTCACCCTTTTGTGGGCCATGCAGGGGGAAAAATTTAGAGAAGAATGTTGCCCTGAAGTGCTCATTCCAAGTTGACTCACCCCTTGGTGAGCCACTGGAGAGAAAAATAGAGAAGGAAGTGGCCATTCCAAGTTGACTACCCTTTTAAGTGAGCAATGCAGGGGTGAAATTTGGAATACGCAGCAACATTCATTCGGGAAAGGGCCTGTGTGCGCACTTGATTCCCCCCGATGGGGTGTGTGCACGCTGAGTCAACAAGTGTGTGCGCAGATGAGGCGCAAGTGCTGATAAAATATGCGGCGCCGCCCTTCTGTGAGCCACCCGAATGTACAGTAGTAAAGTTTAGAGCGCAGAAAGCGATTCCATTCTAGCACGCCAGTAAAATTTTGAAGAGGAGAGGCGACCGCAAGGCCCCTGGTCCTTTGGTCCTCTGTTCCCCTGGTCTCTGGATCTGAACCTCTGCAAGATTTTGTGGGTCTCTAGACTCTACACCTCTACACTCCAGATCTGTCTGGATGTCGAGGCCTTTGGATGTCCAGCTTACGGAGCTGTGCTGCCTGCAGTGGCCAGTGTCGTCAGCACTGTGCTGCTGGAGGTGGCCAGAGTGTTGTAAGCACTGTGCTGCTGCAGGTGGCCAGCTTACGGACCTGTGCTGCCTGCAGTGGCCAGGAAAGCTGCAAGTTGACTCACCCTTTGTTGCGCCACCCGAGGGTAAAATTTGGAGAAGGATGTTGCCATTTCAACTTGACTCACCCTTCTGTGCGCAGGGTAAAATTTTGAGAAGGAAGTGGTCACTCCAACTTGACTCACCCTTTTGTGGCCAATGCAGGGGTAAATTTTAGAGAGGGAAGCGGCCATGCCAAGTTGACTCACCCTTTAGTGAGCCACCCGAGGCTAAA